GCGGCCTGGGTTTTTATTTTTCGGGCCGCCCATTTTTCCGACGGAAGTTCTCCGTTAGTTATGTATGCGAGGATTGTTTCCATCCACGGGCGATTGAATCCGTAATCGGACCGATCTTCGACCGGGTGGTCTTCCTCCACGTCGTCTTCTGGTTCGTTGATTAGATTTATGACTATGGGCGGTCCGATGCTAGGGTGTTTGATAAATTCGACGGGAATTACCCTGCTCACACCAGGATCCGAGCTGGATGCTAGGGCGGCCAAAGCGTCTGCCTGGGCGTTCTCTGCTCGAGGGATTCTAGTCAAAGCGAATTGATCGAACTTCTGAGCTAGATTTTTTACCAAGATCATATATGCTTCCATTCTTTCGTCCCTTGCTTCGTATTCCCCGCTAAATTGGCTAGCCACTAGTTGGGAGTCGCAGTATGCGTGGAGGTTACGAATCTTTAGTCCGTGAGCTAATCGTAGTCCTGCGATCAAGGCTTCATACTCGGCTTCGTTGTTTGAAGCGTGGAAAATCAATCGGAATGACTGTTCCAATACTTCTCCCGCTGGGGATGCGAGTCGGATGCCGATTCCAGAACCTTGTTTGGACGAGGATCCGTCAACGTATAGGATCCAGGTCAAGTTCGGCTCTTGGTCGGACGTGCTTCCCGTCGGGAGTTCCACTATGAAGTCTGCGAGTACTTGTGACTTTGCGCAAGTCTTCGAGCGATATTCAATGTCGTATTCGCTCAGCTCGATTGCCCATTTGGCCAGCCTTCCCGATTGGCTGGGACTGTGCAAAATGGTGCGGAGGGGGAACGAAGTAGGAACGATGATGGTGTGAGATTGGAAATACGGTCTAAGTTTCCTTGCGGACATGACCACGGCCAAAGCCAATTTCTCCATCATCGGATATCGCGTCTCCGCGTCTAGTAGTGTCTTACTTACGTAGAAGATTGGCTTTTGTTCGCCGCGTTCTTCCCGGATAAGGACGCCACTCACGGCGGTTGTCGATACTGCGATATAGAGGAATATTGGTTCTCCTTCTACGGGTTTTGCGAGTACTGGCGGGGTAGCTAGGTAATGTTTCAGCTGTTGGAAAGCCTTCTCGCACTCTTCTGACCATTCGAACTTTTTGTTTCCCTTTAACGTCTCGTAGAAAGGTAGACATTTGTCCGTCGATCGCGAGATAAAACGGTTAAGTGCTGCGATCCTGCCGGTTAGTCTTTGTACTTCGCGTTTTGTCCTAGGAGAGACCATCTCAATCAGTGCCGTGATTTGTTTCGGGTTAGCCTCGATTCCGCGGTAAGTGACAAGGTACCCTAGAAATTCTCCGGACGCAGCGGCAAATCGACACTTTGCCGGGTTCAATTTCATGTTGTGAAGGTTGAGCCTCTCGAAACATTCCTGGAGGTGTACGACGTGGTCTTGCTCTTTGAGCGATTTTACGAGCATATCGTCGATATACACTTCCATCGTTTTTCCGAGTTGTTCGGAGAACATTCGGTTGACGAGTCGTTGGTAAGTTGCGCCAGCGTTCTTTAGACCGAAAGGCATCACTTTGTAGCAGTAGGTTCCACGATCGGCTATAAACGCGGTTTTCTCCCGATCGTCGGGATTCATCATGATCTGATTGTATCCCGAGAAGGCGTCCATGAAAGATAAGAGCTTGTTTCCTGCGGTCGCCTCGACTAAGCGATCGATGTGCGGTAGCGGATAACTATCTTTCGGACACGCTTTATTGAGATCGGTGAAATCGACGCAGACTCGCCATTTTCTGTTCTTTTTCTTTACGACAACGGGATTGGCGAGCCAGTCAGGGTATCGAACTTCTGTGACTGATCCTACTTTGAGGAGTCTGTCGACTTCGCTGTTGACCGCTTTGGCGCGTTCCGGCCCCAGCTTCCGTCTTTTTTGTTTGACGGGTTTGGATGTCGGGTCAACGTTGAGTTCATGACACGTGATGTTTATATCGATCCCTGGCATATCTTCCGCAGTCCAAGCGAACGTGTTCGAGTTTCGTTTTAGACATGTCAGGAGTTCGACTTTTAAGGTCTCGCTCAGGTTCGCACCGATTTCGACG